TCGCGGTGTCAACCGCGGGTTCCTGGGACAGTGCGCCTCTACCTTGGGGCCTCCCGGGCCCGGTGGGGTAACGGTACCGAGGGTGCTGTGTCGTAAAAGTGAGTTTCTGGCCCTCCTGACATAGAGTAACAACGCGAACGGAAAGAGGAGAACGGAGATGGGCGCTGCACATGTTACTTCTTTCTCTCCTTACTCTTTTGAGATTTTGGGAGGGTGCGGAGGGTTTAGTTTCCTTTGGGGGTGGGGGATTCACTCCCACCCTTGGGAGAGCAAATTATTTTTTTTCTGAATACTTTTGGTACAGTTTCACTGCAGCCAAAGCTAGTTGAGAAGAGCCTGATTATATGTGGGGTTTTTTCTTTTAGAAATGTCATTTCAGTGAAATTGAAACTTTCCACAAGAACCTGCCAATTTTTCTAAATTTCATTCAGGGAAAAAAACAGAGTTTCAATCTGAATGGAACAATTTAAAAATCATATTTTGAACTTCCAAACTATTATTTTACTTTTACATTCCATGTTATCAGTGAGGATATCCCTTTTTAAAGATGGCCAAGTTGGAAAGACATTTTCAGCACTCTTGACAATTTTTGCTACATCTGAAAAGATTTTTTTTGTTTGTTTGTTTTTCCCCTTGAGGATTTCGGTTAGTAGGGAAGTTAATTTCTTTTCAAATTTGTTCTGATACTGAATGAAAGCAAATTTGGAAATAGCAAAATGTTCTGGAAAGGGCAGTCCTGCTTCCCACCAACTCCTGTATCAATAAACTTTGTAATCTATTGCTTAGAAGGGGAGCTGTCACTTTGAGTGCTCGGTGCTCTGATCACAGGCCACTTTAGCAGAAGCTGAACATAAGTCACAAATAATAACCCTGAATTTCTTGAGAAGAATGAATAAATAAAGCCAGAGAAATAGTGTAAAGGAGAAACAGATGAGAGGAAAATTTAATTGGTTTGAGGAAAAAAAAAAAGCTTCTAAAAATTGAGAACATGATGCTTGGCGGTAGATGCTGAGAAGAAGGGAAGGACGGAGAGGGATGGGGTACAAATAACGAGTCACTGTAACTGGCCCGTCTCTCCAAGGGGACCCAAGCCCTCCAATAAAGGCAGAATTCTCCCAGCTGTGCTCTGCCTCTGAGGACAAGGTCTGCCTGGCCAGTGGGTGCTCGGCAGGATGTCTCAAGCGTCTGCTCTGATCTAGCTGTAAGGAGGGTTGGTACTCAGCAGACAGAAGTCCACTGCCACGGGTACATCTGTCCCTCTCCCACACCCTGAGTGAGAGGCCTCTGCTTGAGCTCACTGACTGAGCCATTTTAGGATGAAAGCTCTCCTTGATCTTGCCCCTTCCTTTTGATCACGTCTGGATCCTTTGCTGCAACTCTTCCTTTTTAATTCCTTCTCTTGCCCTGCCGCATTTGCCCAAGCACCGCTCTGCCTTGCTGCGCTAAGCCGTGGTGCTGTTCTGAATCTGTCCCACTTCAGCTTCGCGGTCAGCTCCTTTCCGCTCACCACGCTCCCGGGTCTGGCTTCTCCATGGAGCATCTGGCTAACATCTTCCCTATTTTCATGCAGGGCAGAAGGAGCAGTCAATGAAAAAGGAAGCAAGTAAGGCAGCACATTTAACAGGTATGTCCTGAGAGGCCAGCAAGATGTGGGAGCAGGGGATAGGGAGATGTGGCTGGGGTGAGAGGGTGGCATGGTCATCGTTGTGAGGAGCCCACCTCACGTGGGCTTTCCTATTTTCCTTTGGTAACACACATGCTCTGACAGTGGGACGTTAATCCACAGCTAAAATCTTCCCTTCGTTTAGGCTTTTCAGTGAGGGCTCTGTTTTTTGGTTTGGTTTTTGGTTTGTACCCAGGACATACAGAGCAAAAAGCTGTCATGAGCAGCTGGCGTTGAGCGAGGTGAAGGTGAGAGCTCCCACCAGTGCGAGGTTGGGGCAGAATTTCCATGCTGCAGACAAAGGCTTGGAGAACAGTTGACTTGCTGTGACACAGGGTGTGACTTGAGGGAAAAACACGCAACTGCTTGTACTTACCACATTTTTTTCTCTTGTTCTGGTTTCCAGGAAACCCTACCCAGCGGGACCTCCCTTTGGAGTGGGAACCCGTCTCTGGCCATGCCTTCACCAACGGCATTCAGTATCGCGATCAAGGCCTTCTCATCAATGAGACCGGCCTGTACTTCGTGTACTCCAACGTGCTCTTCCGGGGAAGCATCTGCAGCAACCAGGTGTTGACCCACATCGTCTACAAGAAAAACCCGGCCTCACCAGGCAGCCATGTGCTGATGGAGGACAAAGGCATCAACTACTGTACAGGTCAGAAAACGTGGGCCCGGAAAAGCTACCTGGGGGCTTTATTCAAGCTCAGGAAGATGGACAGTTTGCATGTCAACGTCTCTAAGATCGCTCTGGTTAATTTTGAGGAATCAAAGACATTCTTTGGCTTATTTAAGCTTTAAATGGGGCTGTTGGAGTGTGGCCAGCAGCCCCACGCACACTAAGATGCGCGAGGGGTGAGTGCTGCCTGAGCAGCAGTGGCCAACTCAAGGTCTCGCACCAGGAAGCCCAGCAAGAAACCACGTTTTGGCCTTCATTGTGAGAGGGCTCAACCAACTGGTAGAGGCTTGTAAGTGGACCTCTGGGAAGCACTGGGGTTGTACTGTGTCAACATGAAGAGAATCGCACATTTTCCCCCTCTGAAAAAAACAGCAAACTCAAAACGTAGTGTGCTGAAGGCCGCGTTGAAACTCACTACTTGCTACCTGAGAAGATGCTGGTGCTAGCAGCCCCACATGGTGTCATGACCCTGGTGAGCTTGGGACAGAAGGTGTGTGGGGACAGCCAGCAGGTATCGAGGAGGCCCCTCAAGCCAGAGCTGCAGGCCCCTGGGCCGGGTCGTGCCGTGCCGCACTGCAGGCAGCGTTGTGGGAACAAGTAGTGCAAAGACCTCAACTGCCCACCCCAAGTCATGGCTGGCCACCCTGCCCAGGCACTTGGCACCATGACTGCTGTACAACAGGCACCTGCCTGCTAGCTGGCTCGTTATGTGTAATATGCTCATTTTGCGCTAAGTTATCGACTCTTCCCGTCCTAGAAAACGTCCCCTAACCCCTTTATTTAACTCATCCTGACTGCCTTGCAAGGAATGTGCCAGAAGCGATGGTGCCCTGATGGGGGTCCTGACCCTGGAGAGAAACCATGACTGTGCCGTGGTGGTGGGACTGGTGGGGAGGGCACATGCTCTGCTGACAGGACCTGAACAACACGGCGGTGGAGCACAGTGGGGTCTGATATGAAAGCAGTCTCTCGAACCCCCTTCCCACCCTTTTGACACATCAGGGTCCCCCATGGAGACTTGGTCCTGCCACCCCCTGCACAGTGTAGATGGGGGGGTGCTGGCTGCCATCAACAGCATGATTTTAGCTGGCTCCCTTGTCATGGGATATTCTCTCCTGAGCAAAATAGATGGTAAATAAAGGTATATTTTTCTAGTAAGGTGCACTGTCCTCTCCTCATTTGGGGCAGCAGGCTCCCGCAATGGCCAAAGCCCTGAAGGCCTCTGTGATAGGGGCCAGAACCCCGCTCCTTCTGCCGCAGCATGGCAGAAATCTGGGAGCTTGACCCCTCTTCACTCCCTGCTTGGTGGGGCACAGGGTCCCTGCCATGGAGGTTTAGGGCTCCAGCATCGAAATATCAGGATTTGGGGACCAGGGAGCTGTGGTGTGGGCAGCACAGACCAGGCAGGCAAAGTCCTGTTTGGCCATCAGGAAGGGAACTGATCTCAAAACACAGGCTTGAGTTTGAGTAGAGCCAGACACTTGTTTCTGAGCAGGAGCGCTGCTGTCCCCAAAGGCACCATGCTCCTCCGTGTGCCCTCTGGCCCCAGCAGCACTTCCCACCTGGCAGTCTGAAGGGCAAGGAAAGGAAGTGGCACTTTGGTGTTATAGACATCCCCCTATTTGCTCACTCTGGTGTCTGGTCCCTGGAGCTCTTCTGCATGCGTTACCCCCGGGGCTCTCTGCCATGTTGCCACCAGGCAGCGCGGAAAGGCTGCAGCGGTGGTGCATCGTCATCTTTGACTGTGGTCCAGCCTTCTTGCAGCTCTGATGTTAGTCACAGTGAACGGTGGCTCTTCAGCAGCCTGCGGCATTTATTTCCTTTTCCACGGTGCTGCTCTCTGCTCAGTGATGTGTGGCCTGTGGTTTGCTGTTGCTTGCTTCAAGGAAACCTGTTTCTTCAAAACTTAGCAGTGGACTGACTACTGGTGCAGCCAGTGTGAACACTGACCTCTTGGCTCACACAGCGGTTGCTGCACTCAGATAGTTCCACTGCATTTCTCAGGATGGAAAATGCTTCAAATGGTCAAAGTTTAGTTTGCTTTATTGATGCTTTGTCACTGTCCCCGCTCCCTGCTGGTATCAGAGCAGCAAACCACGTAGCACAGGGATGGAGGTGCTAGATCCAGACCCTGCCAGGAAAGGCTGGAAGTTGCTCTCCTCTTCTGATTGCTGTTCGTGCTGTGTTGCTTTCCTAGCGACCAGACACCCAAGTGAGGAGTGGGCATCTGTTTGTACACATGCCCGCAAGCTTGCAGCTCTTTCTGTAGCAAAACTAGCCGAGCACATTGCATGCGTCCTTTCTTGACTGGCGAGCAGCTTGGAGGGAGGCAGGGCGGTCAGTGTCCAGAGGAAACTCACGCTGAGGTTACGCTCTCTGCTAGTACTGTAGTGGTGAAGGGCTGGAAAGCTCCCAAAGGTTTCTGTAAGTCGTCACACAGTAACTCATCTAGGCTGTGAATGTAGTCAGCTCTGGGGCAGGATGTGGCAGTCGCACATCAGGAGTGGGGCAAGGATCTGTTAGTCTTTTTATCTGGAGTGCTAAAGCCAGTGCAGACCTGCACATTTCGGAGACAGTGGCACAGTGGGGTGGACGGTCACGTTATAAATAGTGCTAGGATCTCCTGAGGTGGACAGAGCTGGCTTATCCTTGCAGGACAAAGCTGGGTGCTGCTAGGCTGGCTCCCGAGTCAGAGAGTGGCTGTGACTG